TATAATTGTATTTTTTTAAAGATTTATTTATTTATGCATACAGGAACTGGGGTTCAAAGGTGTGGGGGGTGAGAGGAGTCACCAGAGACAGAGCGGGGAACAGAACAGGCAGAATGACTGAAATACACTGCTGAGGGGAGCAGCAGGCGAGTCAGGAGAGGTCTGCTGCGCCATGTGGCCAAGGATTGAACTCATCCTGCAGTGGCTGCAGGTAGCTTCATAGGTTGTATCCTAACTCCTTGAGCCACCAGGAGGCCCCTGTAATTGTATTTTTTTTTTTTTTTTTTAATAGAGGCATGCTTTATTTATTTATTTATTTGTTTGTTTGTTTTGTTTATACAAGCACTGGGTACAGTCAGAAGCGCGGGAGGGTGAGAGAATTCACCAGAGCCAGAGCGGGGAGCAGAGCAGGCAGAAGGGCCGAAGTACACTGCTGAGGGGAGCAGCAGGCGGCAGGAGAGGTCTGCGCGCCATGTGGGACCCTCCTCCAGTGGCCGGGGAGCAGCCGGGGATCGAACCGGCGCCACAGAGGCTGCGGGCAGCTTCGCAACCCAGTGCTCAACCGCTACGCCACCGGGGAGGCCCTGTAATTGTATTTTTATTTAACAATGATCATGTGACTTTTTTTTTTTTTTAAATATTTATTTATTTATTTATACAAGCACTGGGTACAGTCAGAAGCACGGGAGGGTGAGAGAATTCACCAGAGCCAGAGCGGGGAGCAGAGCAGGCAGAAGGACTGAAGTACACACTGCTGAGGGGAGCAGCGGGCGGCAGGAGAGGTCTGCGCACCATGCGGGACCCTTCTCCGGTGGTCTGGGAGCAGCCGGGGATCGAACTGGCGCCGCAGAGGCTGCAGGCAGCTTCGCAACCCAGTGCTCAACTGCTGCGCCACCAGGGAGGCCCGATCATGTGACATTTTTTAAGCAAAGCCAAAGAAAAGAAAAACAGTAATCCAGTAAGAAAATGGGCAAGCAATATGAACAGACAGTTCCCCAAAAGTTAATATGGAAGATAATTAAATACATGAAAAGATGTTCAATATCATAGCCATTAGGGAAGTGCAAGGTTAAAACTACACTGAGAGATCAGGAGACACCTATTGGAATTATTGAAATAAGGAATAATGAAAATATCAAATGCTAGTAAGGATGTGGAGAAGCTGTCCCTCATATTCTGTGGTTGGAAATGTGAAGTAGTTCAGCCACCCCAGAGAATTCTTTTTTTTTTTTTTTTTAAGATTTATTTATTTATTTATTTATTTATACAAGCACTGGGTACAGTCAGAAGCACGGGAGGGTGAGAGAATTCACCAGAGCCAGAGCGGGAAGCAGAGCAGGCAGAAGGACCGAAGTACACTGCTGAGGGGAGCAGCGGGCGGCAGGAGAGGTCTGCGCTCCATGTGGGACCCTCCTCCAGTGGCCGGGGAGCAGCCGGGGATTGAACCGGCGCTGCAGAGGCTGCGGGCAGCTTCGCAACCCAGCGCTCAACTGCTGCGCCACCAGGGAGGCCCCAATGGCACTTTTTAAAAAAATATTTTTGGGTTTTTTTTTTTAAGATTTATTTTATTTATACAAGAACCAGGGTACAGGCCAGATGTGCGGGAGGGTGAGAGGATTCACCAAAACAGAATGGAGAGAAGAACAGGCAGATTGGCTGAAATACATTGCTGAGGGGAACAGCAGGCGAGACAGAAACGGTCTGCTGCTCCATGTGGGTTGCTCCCGTGGCTGGTGGGGATTGAATCGGCACTGCAGAGGCTGTGGACAGCTTCACAGCATTGCGCTCAACCGCCTGCGCCACCAGGGAGATCCACCAATGGCACTTTTATATGCGTCGATGTACTTAACTTGACATCTTCCTCTGATTGAATAATTCTCCTGATAGTGTTTAATTTGGTTCCCTGTTATAAATGTCATATCATAATTTTAACACTTAAAGTTATTGGCAAGAAAATAAGTTAGTCATAGTGCATAACTGAGTCAAAAAACATTTTTGATAAGTTACATATATCTTAATTTGGTCAATTTTGAAAAAAAGTTTTGTATGCTGGCTTTTAAATTTTAAAAATGTGTACATTCAAAATTTTATTTTTGCTAATTTAAAAATTATGTTCTAATCATAGCATAAGATTGGCCGTTATGACCATTTTTAAGTGTCTAGTTCAGGGGTATTAAGAGCGCTCAGTATTATGCAGCCATCGCCACCATCTGGAGACATCCAGAACTTCTCCTCATCCCAGGAACACTGTACCCATTTACAATACTCCCAATGATGTTTGCTTTGGAATTGTTCTCATTTCAGAATTTATTGTGTACTTATTATAGAAATGTTTGAAAATACAAAGAAATCCAAAGACTAAAATAAGGTATCCATGATATCACCGCCCAGAAGAAGGCATTGACATTTGGTTTAGCTTTGTATTTTGGCTTTTTTTCAGTGAAAAATATATGACATATTTAAGCAAGTAGTATTTTGCCAAAACTCCGCTTATGTTTTTGGAAGTCAAAGTGAAATAGGTGCAATTAAAAATTATTTTTTGCGGTCCTTCCTGGTGGCGCACAAGGGATTAAGATGCAGCCTATGAAGCTATCCATAGCCACTGAAGTAGGAGTTCAATCCCTGGTCAGGGAGCTACCCACATTGCGCAGCAGACCTCTCCTGACTCGCCTGCTAGTCCCCTCAGCAGTGTATTTCAGTCATTCTGCCTGTTCTGTTCCCCACTTTGTCTCTGTGAATCCTCTCACCTCCCGTACCTCTGGCCTGTACCCCAGCTCTGTACCTCCCTCTTCTGTACCTTCCTGTACCTCCCTCTTCTGGTACAGAAGACACTAATTAGAGGAAGAGTCTTTGGTGAGAGAAGTTTACGTTTTTCTGAAAGTTCTGAAAATAAATTATAACTTGAAAGTTATTTAAATATGGATTCTATAATAGTGATTTCTTTTCACTTCAATTTAGTAATTATATGATACACATACAAAGATAGCTCACAATAATATACATAAACTGTCTTTATAGCCATCTCTCCACTGTATTCAAACTAGTAGATAGGAGAAAACCATATATTTATTTGGGTCTTGAGTTACTTCGATTCTAATATCCACTCACTTAACAACATCAGACACATACACTCACTGCGTTTGATATGTATTAAGAACTAATGACCACGATGATAATATTTGCAAACACAGATCTCTAAATTATCTGTGTTATACACAGTTTTGAATTCTTAATGTACATAGTGTCATTGAGTTTTCTCAGCAACATAATGAATTAGGTGCTTTTTCTGAACCCACTTTCACATAGGGAAACAGGCACAAGAAGCTAATTAACTTGCTCAAAAATCTCACAAGCTAGTAAGTGGCTGAGCCAGGTTCGATTGCAGCCATATGGCTTGAGGGTTTGTACTTAATGTTGAAGTGTTTGAAGTCTCTGACAGACTTTCATCACTTACAGGAGTCAAGACAGGTTCTGCAGGATACTAATTCCCCAGAGTAATAATAGATGTTCAGTGAGGTAAAAGTTAAAAGGGTGGGAGTCATCTGAGGTGAAATAAACTGGAGGTCAGTAAAGCTAAATATGTTTCTCTTTTAGCAGTCTGATGTGGGAATGTATGTTGAGAGTCTCTAAGAAGGGGTTGTAATGTGCAGAATGGACTCCCCTTTTTTGATTCTAGGACCTTTTCCAACCCCCTCATGACCTCTCAAGGGGCCAGTGTCTATGAGGAATACAGTCCCTGTCCTACAAGGGAAAGTGCAAGCTAATCCTTGACATATGAGAATTCTTTTTGGTTCTTACCTGTCTTCAACCTAAGCTTACCATCTTCTGCCCTTCTTTCTCTTCCTCTCCTCCCCAGTCTTGGGTTACTGATGGTCCCCTCCTCAGGGCTGTCGCTGCCTGGCCTGTCACTCATTCCCCTCTCTGGCGTTTCTGCCTGGCAGATTGCTCCTTAAAGTAACAGGTGTCTCTGTAGACTTTCCTTGACTTCCTGGACACACTCAGACATATTTTCTGGGAGTTTACTGGATTGTCATGTTCACAACACTGTTACAGAGGATACCTGGAGAGTATATCTGTATCTTTAGCATCTTTTTTTTTTAATTTATTTTTTTGTGTAGAAGAACTAGGGTGTAGACCAGAGGTACAGGGGATGAAAGGATTCACCAGAAAGAGTTGGGAGCGGAACAGGCAGATTTACTGAAATACACTGCTATGGAGAGCAGCAGGTGAGACAGGCAAGGTCTGCTCTGCCATGTGGGTTAGCTCTCTGGCCAGGATCAAACTCAGATCTTAGTGATAGCATTGAGACTTAACCCTTAGGCCACCATCGAGGACCCTTTAGCATCTTAACGAGTGCTGTCTTCTGATAGGTACTTGTAAAGGGCAAATATAGTAGTTTAAAGAATGTTTTATTGTCCCTCTTTAGATGATATCCTAATGAGAATACAAAGTCACCTTAAGGTGATTAAAGCACCTTAAAGAATGCAGTGAATTTTATTAATATGTAGTCAATAATTTTTATAGTGACTTTTTTTTAAGATTTATTTATTTTTATACAAGAATTGGGGTACAGGCCAGATGTGCGGGAGGGTGAGAGGATTCACCAGAGACAGAGAGGGGAACAGAACAGGCAGACTGACGAAATACACTGCTGAGGAGAGCAGTGGGCGAGACAGGAGAGGTCTGCTTCGCCATGTGGGATTCTCGCCAGCCGGCTGGGATCGAACCCATGTTGCAGAGGCTGCAGACAGCTTCACAGTGCAGCCCTCAACCGCCTGCGCCACCAGGGAGGCCCCAGTAGTCAATATTTTTAACATGATTTTTATCTTTGTATTTTTTTTTTGATGATGTTAAAGAGAGATGGGAATCTGTCTTTGAAAGAGACAGTGGGAGCCTTTTAATGATGTGATCATGTCCTTCATGTCTTTTACCCCCTGCCCCTTTTCTTATTGCTCTGTGTATCTGAATGTGATTCAAAAGCCTTTTGTCTCTTTGCAAAGGCATGCCATGTATCAGCAGAACAAAGAAAACTTCCAGGATGAGTGCACTAAGCTTCTGGTTGGCAATATTGTTATAACCCGATACAACAATCGTACCTATCGTATTGATGATGTGGATTGGAATAAGACTCCAAAAGATAGCTTCATAATGTCTGATGGGAAGGAGATCACATTCCTGGAATACTACAGGTAGAAACAAGAGACTGGGTTTGGGCTATAGGTGAGGGTGGAGCATAGTCCTCCAACCTCTCAGGATATTGAGATCCATAGTAACAAGACACTTTTCAATAATTTGATTGGTAAAGCACTTAAGAGTGAGTCAGATCATTTGTGGGATTTGACTTGAGTATGATACTGGGGTAGTTTCATTTCTTTTAGAATTTTGGAAATTATTACATAAATTTATCTCATGGCTTTGAATTGTATTTCTTACACTCGTTTAGTTAAAAGTTGGAAGAGATTAAATTCAAATCATTAATCATTTGACTTTCATTTTGCCTTCTAGTTTTTAAACTCTTCCGTACATTTTTAGTGCATTTTCTCCTCTACTTAATTGCAATGAAACTTCAGCTTGCCTTTTTCGGTTATACTTTTACTATGATGAGTGTCAAAACTAGTGGATGCTTGAGATGGGTATTATGCAAATTCTATATCTCAGTCATGCTTAAGAGACTCAAACTATGTTGCTGTAAGCATAGTAGTGCCACTTCTGACTTTTCTTCCTGCCTCTGCTCTGCTCTAGCAAAAACTATGGAATTGCAATCAAGGAAGAGGACCAGCCACTGCTGATCCACAGGCCCAGTGAGAGGCAGAATAACCAAGGGATGGTGAGTGGAGATATCAGGCTTGCATTGGAGCCTAAGTTCTCCATCCTGTCAGTTGCTGTTCACCTTCTTCATGGCTCTAAGCATGTGGTGCCAGAGATGGCACTTCATGTCATAGGATTTGCTTTTGGACTCCCCACAAGGAGGATGTAAATATCCATATGGATCCATTAGATTCAGGAATAAGATGACTTTTCTGCTAAAGGATAAAACAACAGATCCATTAGGGGAGTTACAGACTTTTTTTTTAAATTTTTTTAAGATTTATTTATGCATACAAGAACCAGAAGTTCTTGGGGGGGGGGGTGAGAGGATTCACCAGACAGAGTGGGGAACAGAACAGATAGATTGACTGAAATGCACTGCTGAGGGGAGCAGTGGGCGAGCCAAGAGAGGTCTGCTGCGCCATGTGGGCTGCTCCCTGGCCAGGGATCAAACTCATGCTGCAGTGGCTGCAGTTAGCTTTATAGGTTGCATCTTAACCCCTTGCGCCACCAGGGAGGCCCAGAAGTTACAGATACTTTAACAGGGCTAGGATAAGGTGCCTTGATACTGACTTTTCTTAAATATGAAGACTGAACATCAGCAAGCTTAGATGAGATGGAGGCACCAACCTGCCAGGATGTATTGATTCAGCTTGTCTGGAGGCCCAGAGAGACAGAATTTTTCATTTTCTTTTTTTTGGCATTTTTTTTAAAGATTGATTTATTTACACAAGAACTAGGGTACAAGCCAGATGCGTGGGAGGGTGAAAGGATTCACCAGAGACAGAGCGGGGAACAAAACAGGCAGACTGATGAAATACACTGCTGAGGGGAGCAGCAGGCGAGACAGGAGAGGTCTGCTTCTCCATGAGGGACCCTCGCCGGCCGACCGAGATTGAACCCGCGCTGCCAAGGCTGCGGACAGCTTCGCAGTGCGGCGCTCAACCACCTGAGCCACCAGAGAGGCCCAGAATTTTTCATTTTCTAGTGTTCCCTCTACTTATGTCAAATTAAATATTTTTCCCTTTTTCTTTAAACACTATCAGTGTAATTTTTGTACTGGCAAGATTCAGCTCTTGTCCCAAGCCTGCCTGCTTATTACTATGCATGCTACTCTTAACAAACCTGTCCCTTTCACGAGTAGCTTTCTGCCTTCTTGTGTCCTTTTTTCCTTTCCTCTTTTATGTAATAAACCTGTTCTTTTGTCTATCTATCTATCTATCTATCTATCTATCTATCTATCTATATATATATATCTGTATTTTCCTTTTTATCTAATTATAACAAACAGGCCATATGTGTTGTGACTAAGGAGGAAAGGGTGACTTGTGTTCACTGCCCTCTTCTCTTCTCTGGGTTTTATATTCCTTAGTATGTCAGGTATATCCCTGCAGGACTAACTCTGGGTGTGACGTGTCTTACATGGGTCAGGGGACAAGACCCTCTTACTACTTACTCTCCCTCCACATTCTCTCTTCAAAGTTGCTAAAAGGTGAAATCCTGCTGCTTCCTGAGCTTTCCTTCATGACTGGAATCCCAGAGAAGATGAAGAAGGACTTCAGGGCCATGAAGGTGAGGAATGCCTGCTTAAGTGGGAGATCTTTTGGGTAGCAGATTGAACTAGAGCCAGACAGTCCTTGCAATTACTGGGCAGGTCAGTTCTTGCAGGTTCCGGTTTTCTTCTCTGCAAAACATGTCCCTTCCCTCACACTGAAAAAGCCAGTCAGAGCTTCCTTTTGAAGATTGTTAGAATGGTAGAATGACTCGATTATATGGAAAAAGGAAACAGTTCTGTCTTCATCCTCACCATTCAGATGGATGATATAAAGTGGTCATAAGATTATAAATGAGGTTCAAGAACTTGAAATTTTTCTAACATTTCTAGAAGCCTTCAGTTTATTTGATGAGGTAGAGGAAATAAAGTAGCAAAAAGTCAGCAAGTCAGAGGATGAGGTAAAAGGGTAGAAGTTTATCTTGAGTGCCTCCCCTGTTGCTGCAGCAGTTGAGCTCTGGGCTGCGAGGCTGCCCACAGCCTCTGCAGCGCTGGTTCATTCCCCAGCCGCCAGCGAGGGTCCCACAAAAAAAAAAAAAGAAGTTTATCTTGAGCTCTGGCATGTCCAGCAGTGTTGATAGGACGCAGCCAAGGAGCAGAAATGTGCAGAGTGTGGGTGCAGACCCAGTGCTCCACCTCCACACTGTCTGTGACTCCTGGGCTTTTCATACTTGACGTATTCGGCTCCTTTCTCACTTTCCCATTCTCTGTCTGTCTTACATTTGGACCCAAGCTTATCTCATATGTCACATAATATTTTTAGTAACATTAAGAACCTGAAGTGAAGCTCAAAATTTATGGAAGAGATTTCCTTCATATTTGCCCTCTGATACCTCTGCTTTAATATGTAGATCAAGGTGCCTTCCTTACAACTCCCAGGTACCTGATGACTCTCTGATCACAGTACTATTAATACGGCCCCATAGACTTACTGGCCCTCAGTATTACCTTGCCGAGAACAGCTGTACAATTCAGTAGTCTCAGAAGAATAAATAAAGAACTCAACTTGTGTGAGTCAGAATCTTTATACACACCCTTGTTAGCTATTCATTCAGAAATAAGTACTTAGAAAGCTCCTATTATGGGCCAAATCCTGGACAAAAATGTATCTTATGATGATATAACGCCTACAAGGCTGGAGGTGGTCTTCCATTCTATATGTTTTAACCTTATACATTCCTGAGAGATATGTATTAAAATACTTGGAGATAATTGAAAATTTCTACCGACTTGCATGGGAAGGAAGTTTTTTTATGCAAGTGTTTTAGATACATGGGGCCTTATTTAACCTCATATTGGAGAAAATAATACTTTTGACTTATCTCCATTTTAAATCTGCTCAGGATTTGACCCAGCAGATAAACCTAAGCCCCAAACAACACCACAGTGCTTTGGAATGCTTGCTACAGAGAATTGCAAAGAATGAGACAGCCAACAATGAGCTGACACGCTGGGGACTCTGTCTGCAGAAGGATGTTCATAAGGTAAACCAGAGGATGTGATAAGTAGGAAATAGCATTAACCAAAGATTTTAGAGCTTTTTGACACTGGATGATAATTTCCTATCTTATCTTTTTTTGGAGTTTCGCTTTATTATTATACTCCTTTGTGGGGAGGGGAGTCTTAGTCATAATACTTCAATGTCTTTGATTCACTTGTTAATACATTTATTACAAAATTTTCCTCTATAGTTCCCAGGGATCTAAGCTGATAATTTCCAGTCAAATGTAGCAAAAGGAATATTGACTTAAAATTTATCTCATTTCCAGCTTTCTTAAAGTTCTATGTCTTTTCCCGTTTCTTTTTCTTCCCCAAGATTTTTTTTCCGTTCTAAATAATTTTATTTTCTTAAATATGCTACTGTCATTCTTTCCATAGGTATAAAGTGTCTCAGAATTGTCTGAGCAAATTTATGGTGGTTGTTTTTACCTGTGGACTACACCTGAGTCTGTAGTATTTTCTGCAGCATCATCCACTGTGCAGAGGCCGCTTGAGATGGTGCAGCCCTTGGTCTTTGGTGGCAGCTTATCTGCCTTTAAATCTTAGTTTCTACTCTTTGCTGTCTTGTTTACTTTGAACATATTGCTTAGCATCTTGTAGTTTATCTGTAAAATAAGGGTAATGATTGAGTTAAAATAACTAAATGATAAAATCTTTAGCATAACTGACATGTAACAGGTGCTCAATAAATTAGCTACTTAATTATTTTTCACCTTTCTTCTGGAATTATAGCAAAGTAATTCAGTTTTCTGTAGTTCTCGCATACTGATATGACTTCTTGTTAAAAATTAATCGTATGTGTGAAAACACTAATTAGAAGGGATATATGCACTCCTGTATTCATTGCAGCAGTGTATACAATACCCAACTTATGGAACAACCTAAGTGCCCAAAAGCTGGTAACTAGATTAGGATGATGTGGTATCTACACAGTGGAATACTGCTCAGTTATAAAAATGGTAAATTCTTGCCATTTGGGGCAACATGGATGGAACTAATGCTAAGTGAAATAAGTCAGAAGGAGAAAGACAAATTTCAGATGGTTTTACTTATATGTGGAATATAAAGAAAAGAAAGGGTCAGATAAAACTAAAACAATAGCAAACACTAGACATCTGACTATAGAACTGAGACTACCAGAATGGGAACACGAGGGAGAAGAAAGAAGTGGGGAGGACACAGTGGACTATGGTAGAGGACTGTGGGTACCTCGGTGGTGGGTGTGCTGTGGTAACATACACCTGAAGGATATGATCCTATACCTCTAAATAATATACAATATTATAAACTAATGTTACCTCAGTTAAAAAAATTATTTTGGGCCTCTCTGGTGGTGCAAGGGGTTAAGAAACAACCTATGAAGCTAGCCGCAGCCACTGAAACATGAGTTCGATCCCCAGCTAGGGAGCTACCCACATGGCATTTTAGAATATTTTTCCATGTCATAATATTTTTCTACATATTTTAATGGCCACCATATATTTCATTTATTAATAGTTTCCTATTCTTCTACATTCAAGTTGAATTAAGTATTTCCTATTATATATAGTGATGCAGTAAACATCCTTGTAGTTAAATCTTTGAATATATTTCTTTTCATAAGTCAGATTTCTGAAAGTGAAATTTTTAGGTCAGGGAACATTTATATTTTTATTTTTTTAAAAGATATATTTATTGATGCATACAAGAGCTGGGTGCAGGCCAGAGATGGGGTGGGGGTGCGGTGTGTGTGAGAGAGGATTCACCAGAGACAAAGTAGGGAGCAGAACAGGCAGATTAACTGAAATACACTGGTGAGGGGAGCAGCAGGTGAGACAGGAGAGGTCTGCTGCGCCATGTGGGTCACCTCCCTGGTCTGCCGGGGATCGAACTCGTGCTGCAGAGGCTGCAGATAGCTTCACAGTGCTGCATCTTAACCCCTTGTGCCACAAGGGAGGCCCACATTTATATTTTTAATACTTTTATTATATATTGCCAGTTGTCCTCTAGAAAGGTTTAACAATTTTTCGTTTTCATGTAAATGAGTGATTTCTTACACCCATATGAATATGGGTATTGTCATTCTTTACAATATATTTTTTATAATACTAAGAAAATTATTCAGATTTTTAGATCATGGATCATTTTTTTATTTTGGTTATTTTTTAAATATATTTTTAAAGCAAACAGTAGAGATCATAAAAAGTAAAATCCTTCATAATTATACCTCCTCCAGAGATCATCACTACTTCGTGTGCACTCATTCCATTTTTATGATACAGGCAATACTATTTGTTTTTTTTGCAAAATAAGATTATATCATTGATAATTTTTATTATTCTCAATAATGTTGAAAGATCATTTGTTTAAACTTACCGGGCCTCGCAGCCCAGCCCTCAACCGCTGCGCCACCAGGGGATGCCCAATAAAACATTTTCTGATAGCCATTTTTCTGTTCAGGACAGTTTTAAAGGGGGGGTGGGGTGTGTGTGTGTGTGTCAAAAACAGGAATGTACCTTTACAAAGCCTCAGAATAGACCCTCTTTTAAAAAAAAAAAAGACCATGATTCACTGAAGACTGTGAATATTACATGAAGCTAATTGAGAGAAATCTGGTAAGATTTGTTAAATCAGTCACATCTAATAATGCACCTGAAGTATTCTTGTATAAAATATCACATGCAGAAAACTTTATCAGTGTCTGGAAAGCTTGTTCATAGGCAGACTAATTACCTTAAAAAGTGTTTCCTGATACATTAAGAAGTGAAACACTGTTTCGTAAACCCTTTCAGTTCAGGATTTCCACTCACTGAAATAACTACAGATCTGAAAAATCACTCAACTTTAATTTGTTTTTATCATTGTCTTCATGCCTTTTCTTTATAGCTTTCTCTTGCATAAAGTATAATAGTTTATTTCTGCCTAAGATTATTCTCATTTTGATGTTTCTCTTATATTTTCATAGATTATTTCCCTCTTCACCTTGAAATTATAGTTGTTTTACATGGTGCTTTCTAGTTCTTTTCTTGGAATGCCATGTTTCCATAATCAAAGAGTGGTATCTGTAAAAACTTGTGTGTGCCCATGGTTTTATTGACATGGATTCTCACTCTGATAATTTCACTCTTCTGTCAGTCTGTGAAGTTATAGCAAGGCCCAGTCTATGAAGTGGTGGTGACCAGGCCTCAGAGAGAACAGGAACAGTATGTGTTTTTCTGAATGGTATATGTAGATGACTCATGTCATAGGTGCTTTATTTTCTGTTTAGATTGAAGGACGTGTTCTGCCATTGGAAAGAATTAACTTAAGAAACACTTCATTTATTACATCTCAGGAACTAAATTGGATTAAGGAAGTGACCAGAGACCTATCCATTTTGACTGTAAGTGACTTTTGAAGTGATAAAAGAGAGGCATAGTATTCCTTAAAGTGTGGAAATTAGGAAGTTGAAATGATTTTAGTGACCTCTTTTTTTTTTAAAGATTTATTTTTATTATATAAGAACTGGGGCGCAGGCCAGAGGTATAGGGGATGAGAGGATTCACCAGAGACAGAGTGAGAAGCAGAACAGGCAGATGTACTGAAATACACTGCTGAGGGGAGCAGCAGGCAAGACAGGAGAGGTCTGCTGTGCCATGTGGGTTAGCTCCCTTGCTGGGGATCAAACTCAGCCACAGAGGCTGGTGATCGCTTGATAGCACTGAGACTTTTAACTGTGCACCACCGGAGAGGCCTGATTTAAGGGAACTCTTGTTAAGGGAAAGTACCAACTGAATTCTCATCCTGAATTATCTACTACAACAGGGGTCCTGCAAACAGCAAATTCATAAATTGTTGTAATAATAAACCCTTCGCTTAAACACAGACTTTGAAAAGGAAATAATTGCTGTGATAATTTGTGTAGGGCCAGTCTATTACCCTCTCTCCCTCTTTCTTCCTCTCCTGGTACCTTCCTCCCTTCCCCCCGCAGGTAGTTTCCTAAACTATGTTTTCATCCATGAAAGAAATAAAATTGTCCCCTACTCAGAACAAAATGGTATATAATTATTTTTAAATGGTCTTTATGGCCATGCAGAAAATACATTTGTTTCTAAAATGTTTTGTTGAAATATATTCAAAGAAAAAGTATACTTAAAAGTATGTATAGCCTGATGTGCTGACCTTTGTAATCAACATCAGTGGTATTTAACCAGCACCACAGAAGGCCCCCTCTTGGCACCAAGTTACCTCTCACCTCACACACTCTAAGAATAGCCACACACTCGATTTCCAACAGCATGGATTCATTTCAACTGCTTTTGTACGTGATATGTATATAAAACCATAAGGTATATGTCCTTTTATGTCTGGCTTCATTTGTTGAAACTTCTGTTAGCGAATTTCATCCTTACTGTTAGTTATGGTTGTAGAGCTTTCATTCTCATTGCTGTGTCGTATTCCATTGCGAGAATAGAATGCCACAGTTACTTACCACACACATTTGTATGAGTAATAGAAATTAGATGAGACAGGACTCAAGCAGGAAGAATGAAAAGTAATTTATTCTGGGCCTCCCTGGTGGCGCAAGGGGTTAAGCAACGCACTATGAAGCAATCCGCAGCCTATGCAGCATGAGTTCGATCCCCTGCCGGCCAGGGAGAAACCCACATGGCACAGCAGACCTCTCCTGTCTCATCCGCTCCTTCCCTCAGCAGTGTACTTTGGTCAGTCTGCTTGTTCTGTTCCCCACTCTATCTCTGGTGAATCCTCTCACCCCCTGCATCTCTGGCCTGTACCCCAGCTCTTGTATGCACAAATAAATAAATCTTAAAAAAATAATTTATTCTGTAGAATAACATCTGCTCATTGTGATTTTGGAATGTTCAAGTTGTGGATATAATGGCTTGTGGATATTCCTAGGTTCCCATGCATTTCTGGGCACTGTTTTACCCAAAGAGAGCAATGGATCAGGCCCGAGAACTGGTTAACATGTTAGAGAAGATCGCTGGCCCCATTGGCATGCGCATAAGCCCACCCGCCTGGGTTGAACTTAAAGATGACCGAATAGAGACCTATATCAGAACAATTCAGTCCATGCTGGGAGTTGAGGTAATACATTCATTTAATCTATAGAAGTACATTTATAGTATATCTGTTTTAAAATACTTGAATACATTCATTTAATCTATAGAAGTACATTTATAGTATATCTGTTTTAAAATACTTGAATACTTGATTTTATTTTATTTTTTTTTTTTTTAAATTTTTTTTTTAGAGGCATGTTTTTATTTATTTATTTACTTGTTCATTTGTTTTGTTTATACAAGCACTGGGTACAGTCAGAAGCGCGAGAGGGTGAGAGAATTCACCAGAGCCAGAGCGGGGAGCAGAGCAGGCAGAAGGACCGAAGTACACTGCTGAGGGGAGCAGCGGGCGGCAGGAGAGGTCTGCGCGCCATGTGGGACCCTCCTCCAGTGGCCGGGGAGCAGCCGGGGATCGAACTGGCGCCGCAGAGTTCGCGGGCAGCTTCGCAACCCAGCGCTCAACCGCTGCGCCACCAGGGAGGCCCCTGAATACTTGATTTTAAATATTCCTGTTATCAATCTATTGATGATGTTGTCTAGAAACTATTTTTAGAAATAGTGCTTGAACTAAGAGTCAGTTTTTGTGAAATTTAAATATTGGCACCATAGTTAGATTATCTTACACCATAGCTTCCTCTTTCTGCTCCACTGCTCTGCCTGTCATCCATAACAGCACACTCAGGTTTTCTCTCTGAAGTTGCCTCCTGATTTCCTGTTCTTTCTCTGCATGGATTCCCCCATGCCTGATCATTGATACATTCTGTTCTGCTTTCTAAACGATAACCCAGTGCCTTAACTTCACAACTTTCAGGTTCTCTTTATGAGACTGTACTGCCAATAGTTTGCATGCTGCATGGGTATGAGTCTCATTTATAATGTTAACAAATTTTACTCATATTGGTTCTGCCATCTCTGTCATCTTTAGAGTGTTCTGTCTTACTATTCTTTTTGTTAGGGGACACAAACTCAGATGTTTGTGGGAGTCAGGTATATAGCATAGGCAAGCGAAGTTCACCAAGAGGGGACTATAATGATCTAAAGCGCATAAGCCCCCTGACTGCAGATATACTTCAGATATAACTTTCATACTTTTTTAAAAAGTGACTTTTTATTTGTTCATTTTTTTCCATAGAAACTAAAAGTGGCTTTACCTATGTCTGTCCCTCCCTATATTTAAATGTTAATTTAAAAAAAAAATTGTAAGTTATTGTTGAGTCTAAAAAACCATTTCTGTTCACTAGGCCCAGCCCATAGTTTCCCATGTGCAGTCGTGTTCTACGTGACTTGGGAAGTTCTTTGATGTGATTGCTGGATGTGTGTCCTTCAATAAGTCATAATCTAACACTAATCTTGATTTGGAGTAGTATGCTATTGATTTATCATTTATAACTTTGTGGTGTTAAGGGCCAGCAATTTATTTCACTGAGTACTGCTGTTTTAAATGCAGACTTTGAAAGATGCTCTGTTTTTAATACTAGATCTCTTAAGCAGTGAGGGGTAGAGGATACTGATATATAAGTAGGTATGCTGCTAGCAGTGCCATTGTCTCTTCCAGCCAGGGAGTTAGGAAGGACTGCTGGTGGATCTGGCAAAAGTTAATCTCCTTCTGCACAAATACTTCCATCTGAACCCTTTCCTGTGGTATTACATTCCCAGTTTCCTCAGTTAAAGTTCTGCGGTATAAATGTACTAAGATGCTTTGTATACTAAAGACAGTGGTAAAACAGTATAGGAATTTAAAGTAGCAAGTAAGGGCCTTCCTGGTGACGCAGAGGTTGAACGTTGGGTTGCAAAGCTGCCCACAGCCTCTGCAGTGCAGGTTCGATCCTCAGCCGCCGGGCGAGGGTCCCACATGGCGGGCAGACCTCTCCTGCTGCTCGCTGCTCCCCTCAGCAGTGTGCTTCGGTCCTTCTGCCTGTTCTACTCCCTGCTCTGGCTCTGGTGAATTCTCTCACCCTCCCACGCTTCTGACTGTACCCAGTGCTTGTATAAATAAATAAATAAAGCTTTAAAAAAAAGTAGCAAGTAATAGGTAACCCTTGCATATTTTCAAGTCTGCTCCTGTTTGAGTATCTTAAGTGTCCTAGTAAGTAAATCAGCTAATCAAGACCAGCTCTCTATAATTTTATTATACTGTAAAATATACTGTGTATCTATACAAAGAAGCCCTGGACCAAACAAATGCTCATTCAGGTTCAAGGGCCTTTTTCTTTGTTGGAAAGTTACCCTCTTTTTTTTTTTTTTTTTTTAATAGAGGCATGTTTTATTTATTTATTTGTTTGTTTGTTTGTTTTGTTTATACATGCACTGGGTACAGTCAGAAGCGTGGGAGGGTGAGAGAATTCACCAGAGCCAGAGCGGGGAGCAGAGCAGGCAGAAGGACCGAAGTACACTGCTGAGGGGAGCAGCGGGCAGCAGGAGAGGTCTGCGCGCCATGTGGGACCCTCCTCTGGTGGCTGGGGAGCTCCCGGGGATCGAACTGGCGCTGCAGAGGCCGCAGGCAGCTTTGCAACCCAGCGCTCAACTGCTGCGCCACCGGGGAGGCCCCCCTTTTTTTTTTTTTTTTTAATCCATGTCTACCTTAAAGTCCCTGCAGCCTGGCAGACTGACAGACTATCCAGATGAGCCTTGTCAAGGTCCCCTGAGAGTTCCAAAGCCTGGTTTACATGTCTTTTTTCTCCTCCAGGGGAAGATCCAGATGGTTGTTTGCATCATCATGGGCACCCGTGATGATCTCTATGGAGCCATTAAAAAACTGTGCTGTGTGCAGGCTCCTGTGCCCTCGCAGGTGAGTGGAAGCTGATCAGGAGCCTCCTTTGGCTCATATAGTCTACCCCGAAGCTTGGGGAAAAAGGGATACATGTATTCAGAAAGACTAAAGTAACTATTAGAAGCCAGCATGTGTGCCACCTTCTGATGCTACCTTCCATCTTAAAGTAGAAGAACAGCAGGTAGGAGATGTTCTTCGTGAACACTGCCTTTGTGCTGCCCAGTGAGCATGTGCGCAGGGTGAACTGCCATCTTAGTTCACATGGCTGAGTTCTGAGAGACTGGGCTTCATTGTGAATGGGGAAGAGTGTTTTTCCCATGGAGGTTAAAATTTTTACTTTGCATGAAATTCGTTTGGAAGTTTTTGTTTGTTGATACTTGGTTTTGTGGGTTTGTGCTTGTACGTGTGCACATACGTACCCACACACATCCCTGCTTAGAAACACTAGAATTAAAACTGTTAATATAAAGTGCTAATTGGAGTGTCTTAAACAGATGTGGTACTTAAGAACTGTTGACACTGTCTGAGAGATCCTCTTACTATACATGTCTTGATCCCTTCGTTATAAGGTCATCAATGTCCGAACCATTGCTCAACCCACCAGGCTTAGGAGTGTGGCCCAGAAGATTCTACTTCAGATTAACTGTAAATTGGGTGGTGAGCTCTGGGGAGTGGATATCCCCCTGGTAAGTGAAATTGAGAGCTATCTCCATTCCTTTTAGTTGTCCAGAGACTCCTGCCTAACTGTTTTCCTAGTTTTCTTTGTAGGATTATCCTCTTCTCAGCCCTTAGTAGTCTGTGTGATTCATTGCCTGTTTTAATATGACTGAAGAGAGTTTTTATATTTTTAAATAGTTAAAAAGATAAAAGAAGACTGATCTTTCCTGACACATGTGAATTATATGAAATTTAGTTTTCCGTGTCCTTAAGTGCAATTTTATTAGAACACTGTCCTTCTGTACATACTGGCTTTGGTGGTTTTTGTGCTGTATAGTTCCTGCAGAGACTGAGTGGCTTACAAAGCCCAAGTTGTTTACTCTTTAGTCCTTTAGAGGAAAGTTGTTAATCCCTGGTCTTAGATCTCTGACTTTGTTCATAGTATTTAAAAAATAAATGTCAGTTGATTTGATCATTCTCTTTCTTTCCCAGAACATATTTCATAAGTTGTTTTGGGGTTCAGATAATAATTGAAGATAGAGTGATGGATTGCTTGGGTTATTTTAGCTTGCTTTATTTTCTAACCCAGAAACAATTAATGGTGATCGGGATGGATGTGTACCATGATCCCAGCAGAGGCATGCGCTCCGTGGTTGGCTTCGTTGCAAGCATCAACCTGTGGGTATTATTCAAAGTTGGGTTTTGTCTAGTTACCTCATTTTGATGCCTAGTCTTATTAAAAATCCAGCAGGTACTCTAAATTTATTAGGAATTTAACATACTTATTATAGTGAAAACTGTTTTTTATAAAGTGTACTCTTTTGAATTATAGTAAAAGCATGGTTTTTTCATGCTAAGTATAAGTATACTAATCTCCTTTCCCCTCTACCTTCCTATGCTGTTTCTTTATGCAATCTGTTTATCATACTTACCATATATGATGATCTCCAGCTGCACTGTAATTACCTTCAGATTAAGGGCTTTGTCTTATGGGGAGGAGGGTGTTTGCCCCTGAAATGAGGGATTTTTTTTTTTGTTCTGATTATAAAAATAAGAGATGCTCATGCAAATATTTGCATGAAATTTACTTTTAGAAAGTGAAAAATCCTCTTGGTTCATCTTTTATTTACCACCACCAAAGGTTCAATATATATATACTTTTAGGTTCTCTCTTAGGCATATAGTAACTCACATAAGTTTTGTTGATACACACATGACATATTACTAAGGCTTACTATTCCTCAGCTTGTTTTATGCTCTTAAACTGTATATTTTGGGCATTTTTCCATATCAATACAAATCTCAACTAAATCATTTTAGCTGCTGCATGGAATTTATTGTGTGTTCCAACACTGTTTATTTAGCTTATGTTTTTGGTGGTGGATATCTAGGTAGTTAAATTTTTTCAGTTTGAAGCAGTTTTATAACAGTTACCCACAGTTAGCTATATTTTTACATTCTGTTTATAGCTTACATTTATCTTTTCCCCATGTCACCATGTTTCCTTATAGGTGATGTGAATGCATTTACCAGATACTTGCTGATCAGAGCATGAGAACGCCCTACTGTACTGACATGCAGACTGTGGGCCTTACTCTGTGACTGTGTATTTCATATCATCTCTCTCTCTCTCTCTCTCTCTCTCTCTCTCTCTCTCTTTCTCTGTCTCTCTTTACTACCTCTGTTCTAGCACCCTCACAAAGTGGTATTCACGAGTGGTATTCCAGATGCCTCATCAGGAGATTGTGGATAGCCTGAAGCTGTGCCTGGTGGGCTCCTTAAAAAAGTTCTATGAGGTGAGGAAAATAAATTCTCAAGATTAAGACTCTTAAAGGACCTACCTGACTGCTTTAAGAGGAAGTCAGATTTAGTGGGAGGGATAGCAGATCCAAGGTGAGTCTCCTTGAACAAGTAGCTCCAAGGAACTGCTTTCAGGTTTCTGCTTTGCTTTGCTTTGATAAGTGTGATTATTTCCTAGGTTGTAGGTCTGATACCTATAGACATAATCTTCATGCCTTTATTAGGAAAGTTGGGGGTAAATTTCAGCAGTTAAAGCAGCTTTTGAATTTACTCAGCTTTTTATGACTGTCATTAGGCGCTGGTTCTTTTCATTTTGGTTCAAGACAAATTCCTCCCTATAAACCAGCCGTAAATTCTAAAGAATGCTGACTATGAAGAATTGCTGTCATTAAGCTGATATTGAGTCTGGAACAATGAGCAAGCAAGGTACTGATTTTGTGTTGGCCCGTACATCAAAGGAAGCTCTGATAAGTGGTTTTCATTTCTTAAGATCAGAGTTAGCCCTTTGCAGGGAGGTTAAATGGCAAGAAATTTAGTAATTTCATTATTAAAGTCAGCCTCAGCACTATACCTTGTTTCTTTTTAGAATAACATTTTCAACGTCTTCTAAAGAGTACTCTTCAAGTCTTAGAGATTATGTAAAAAAAAGTTGAATTTTTGTCTCCAAGGAAGCACATATATGCTCATTTGTCACAGAGTTTTATCATATTATCCTTTTTCTTACTGTCGTTGCTGTTGTTTTCCTTCAGTGTTTTGTCTGTTGTTTAAACCCTGGCTCAAAGATTGTTTCTTTGAATTTCTCCCATTTCCCCACTGGTCCATCCATCAGCTAAACTTAATTTTTATGTCTATCTCCCATTCTTCCTTGTTTGTAGTCTATGTGTAGTGGTTATTACATCTTGCCTTATACTAGTTATTTATATCCTTATTAATATCTCCCCCTGGGTTGTATATTACTTGAGTATTTTTTGGTTATTATGGTTGTGTAACGGTTACCCTAAAACTTAGTGACATGCACTGTGCGGATGATGTGCCTCGTGAGAGCACAGGGCACGGGGGTTCTACATTTCACTGGACAAACTTAACATTAGATGGTCCATCTGCCTCCCCGCTCTGTCTCTGGCGAATCCTCTCACCCTCCTGCGCCTCTGGCCTATACCCCAGCTCTTGTATAAAAATAAATAAATCTTCTGAAAAAAAAAATAAATAAAATTATATTTAAAAAAAAAGGGCCTCCCTGGTGGCGCAAGAGGTTAAGCACCGCACTATGAAGTAATCCTCAGCCTCTGCAGCACGATTTCGATCCCCAGCCAGCCAGAGAGAAACCCAGATGGTGCAGCAGACCTCTCCTGTCTCGCCCCGCTGCTCCCCTCAGCACTGTGTTTCGGTCAGTCTGCCTGTTCTGTTCCCCACTCTGTCACTGGTGGATCCTCTTACCACCACCACCACCCACCCCACATCTCTGGCCTGTGCCCCAGCTCTTGTATGCATAAATAAATAAATCTTTAAAAAAAATTATATTGAAAAAAATACTATGGTGCCAAGAGGTTTGAGTGAGTGAGAGAAGGAAAGACACATAGATGGAGCACAGGGCATTTATAGGACTGTAAAGCTATTTTGTGTGATTCTATTATGGTGGATACAGTATTTGTTCATCAGTTGTAACAAATGTACCACTGTAATATAACACGGTAATGATAGGGGAAATCGTGTAGTCTGGGGAGGAGGGATGTATTTGAACTCTATACTATTGCCGGTCCAAAATACAGTCTTTCATTTTAAAAACATGCACAAAATCAGATACTGCCTCACACACACACACACACATACACACACACACACACACTAGGATCACTAAAATAAATGTGATGAAATTGGAACCTCACACATTGCTGCTGGGATTGTAGAATGATGCAGCCTCTTTGGAATAACCTCAGGATGTTTACCATAGTTACTATATGACCTAACAGTTCTGCTCCTAGATATTTACCCAAGATAATTGAAAACATGTCCACACCAAAAACTTGTACATAAACGGTCATAGCAGTATTATTCATAATAGTCCAAAATGGAAACAATCCAAATGCCTTGAACTGATGAATGGAAAAACAAAATGTGATGTATCCTGCAATGAAGTATAATTCATCAACAAAGGAATAAGGGCCTGATACAGGTTCCAACATGGATGAACTGTGAAAACATCATGGCAAGCGAAATTATTTAGTTGAAAAAGACCACTTGTCAAATGGTTGTCCAGAATAAGCCAGTCCAAAGAAACTATTAATGTGTTCCAGCAGTTGGGTTGGGGAGAGCAATGAGGAGTGACTGGTAATGAATATGAGTTCACCTTTTAGATGAAGAATACTTTCCAAAACTAGATAGTGATGATGGTTGCAAAATTTTGTAAATGTGAACATTTTTTAACTTTTTTGCTTAAAAGGGTGACTTACTGATATAGCAAATTGTACACGAATAAAGCCATTCAAAAAAAAAAGAAAGAAAACACTCTGAACCTCACCACCTTTTTAGGCATCATTGTGGAATCTGCAGAATCAGCCAGTGCTGCTGGGAAAACAGATCAAAATCCAGGTGTGTTCCCCAGGCCCTGTCTTTCCTCTGATGCTGACATAGTACCTGTTTTGTATTATGTCCAGCTTTACCAGTGTCCTCAGTTGCAGGGATTCTGGGCACTCCCACCCACCACCTAAAGCTTAACTTATCTGTTACTTCATATAATATTTGTGTTTAGGTTTCTATCTCTAGTCCAGCAGTTACCAATTATTTGGTCTGATGAACCCTTTAAATTGTTAAATACTAGCAAAAACCCTAAGGAGTTATTGTTTACAAACATATACTCTCTCACCAATACTTACCATTTTTAGAAGTTAAAACCAAGAAAAAATCTTTACATTTGCTTAAAGATGACAAAATACATTAATAACACAGCTAACATTATACTCCAAAATGCATAGTGAGAAGAGTGCATTGTTTTCATTTTTGCAAATGGCTTTAATGTTTGGGTTAGTGAAAGGCAAGCAGATACTGTACATTTAATCTATTTCAATATCACAAATTATTTACTCTGGAAAATTCTACCACTTATTTCTGAGAGAGTTAAAGTGAAAATGGCAAGTAATGTAGTAGATTTGTTATAAAAATAGTTTTGACCTGGAGAACTCCCTAAAATGTCTCAGGGACTCCTGGGCAGGGAAGAAAAGAGCTCCAGAGCACATGCTAGGAACCACCACACTGTTTTTCTGGGCTCCTCCACCACATCTCCAACTGCTGACTTGACCTCTCTACTTGGCTAACTCACGAGACCCTGATATGTGAGTGACAATGTTGTTTTCCACTAAGATATGAAAGTCAAAACATTCTTGACACTTGCCTCAACTTTATTTTTCATGATGAGTAATCACCAGATGTTGTGTCCATCTGTTTTTGGCTTGAGCTTTAAGAAGATTGAACTCAATTCTGGTTAATTTAACCCCTGTTGTTCCTGATGTTGCCTCTGGCTGTGGCTGTGACTACATAGGTTTAGACTAGTTTTGATTAGTGTTGACCACAGAATGGGAAGGAAGTGTGTATAGGTATTGCTGTTGGAATCAGAAGTTGCAGGCAGCCGCAGAATGTGTGAGAGAGTGGGTTCTTTTCTGCTTTTTCCAGCTTTATTTCCCTTTCCTCAGCAGAATTGGCAGGAAATTGGGTAAAGAGTTATGAGCAAGTGATGTTTGTATGGGGGAATGTAGACTTTAGCCTACCCTTCTGTGCTCACCATTGCTGATAATTTGTTTGACCTTTTTTCCCAAATTTTTTTTAGTAAAATACACATAAAATTTACCATCTTACTCCCTTAAATATATGTAAGTTCAGTGTTGTTAAATACATTCTTAATATTGTGTGGTCATCACCATCATCCAATTTCATAACCATCTTATAAGGCTAATTGGTAACAATTAAGCAATAATACCCCATTCTCCTTTCCTCCCATCCCCTGGCAACCACCGTTCTACTTTGTCTCTCTGATTTAATTTATTCTAAGTATCTCATATAAGTGGAATCATACAGTATTTGTCATTCTGCAACTGGCTTATGTCATTTAGCATAATGTCCTCAAAGTTGATGTAGTATATTGCAGAAATTTCCTCCCTTGTTAAGGCTGAGTAATATTCCATTGTATGTATAGACTGCATTTTGCTTATCCATTCATCTGTCAATGGGCACTTGTATTGGCTCCATGTTTGTTTTTTGCGAATAATGCTGCTATGAACCTGGGTGTACAAATATCTCAAGATCTTTTCATTTCTTTAGGGTATATATGTGAGGTAGAATTGATTCTATGATGAGTTTATGTTTTATTCTTTGAGGAACTGCATACCATTTTTCACAACTACTGTAACATTTTACATTCTCACAAGTGTGCAAGTTTCTCCACATCCTTGCCAGCACTTATTTTCCATTTTGTTTTGGTTTGTTTTGTTTTAATCAGCATTAGCCATCCTAATGGATATGAGGTGGTGTCTTACTGTGGTTTTGATTTACATTTCCCTGGTGATACGTCCTTTGATTCTGCCCATTTTTGCTCAATATATTTTGATGGTCTCTTACTAGATGTATGAATATTTTTAATTGTTATATCTTCTGGCTATACTGAACTTTTTATTAACATGTAATGTCTTTGTCTTTTGTAACATTTTATCATTTAGCCTTTTGTCTGATTAGTATAGTACCCCTGCTTTCTTTTCACTACTATTTGCATAGAATTGCTTTCTTCATCCTTATACTTTCAGTCTCTTGGTCTTTGAATCTGAAGTAAGTGTCTTATAAGCAGTATATAGTTGGATGTGTTTTTTACCATTCTGCTAATTTTTGTATTTTGGTTGGAGAGTTTAATTTATTTACATTTAAAGTAATTACTGATGCGGGACCTCCCTGGTGGTGCAAGGGGCTGAGTCTCAGCACTATCAAGCTATTGGCAGCCAGTGCAGCACAGAGCTGATCCCTTTCCAGGGAGCTGACTCACATGGTGCAGCAGACCTCTCCTGTCTTCCGCTGCTCCGCTCAGCAGTGTATTTCAGTAGATCTGCCTGTTTTGTTCCCCGCTCTATCTCTGGTGAATCCTCTCACCCTCCCCGCACCCAGTTCTTGTATGCATAAATAAATAAATTTTTAAAAAATAAAATAAAATGATGGAAATAAAAAGTAGAACAGCATATACCAATTCTTTTTTTTTTTTTTTTTTTATAAATTTTATTGTTATATTCCCCATACAATTGCAGCCCCCCCATTCTGACCCCAATCCCTCCCCTCCCGCCCCCGCCCCCCTAAAAGTGTCTCTGGTTCATAGTTTTTTGTTGATTTTGATTTTCACTTTCTTATAGTTATTCATTTTCCTGGTCCCTTATTTAAGTTTTCTAGATTCCTGCTATGAGTGAGACCATCCGGTATTTTTCTTTTTCTTTTTGGCTTATTTCGCTGAGCATGATCCCTTCCAGCGCCATCCATGTTGCTGCAAATTGCATGTGTTTATCTTTTTTGAATGCTGAGTAATATTCCATGGTAGCATATACCAATTCTTAATCTAGACTCAAACAAAATCCAAAGTGTTCATTAAGATTCAAGCCTATTTCATTCTCTCAAATTAAAAATACAAAGGTAGCGGGAGTCTCCCTGGTAGCGCAAGGGGTTAAGCACCGCTCTATGAAGCAATCTGTAGCCTCTGCACCATGAGTTTGATCCTTGGCCCACCAGGGAGCAGCCCACATGGCACAGCAGACCTCTCCTGACTCGCCTGCTGCTCCCCTCACCAGTGTTCTTCGGTCAGTCTGCCTGTTCTGTTCCCCACTCTGTCTCTGGTGAATCCTCTCACCCCCTGCATCTCTGGCCTGTGCCCCAGCTCTTGTATGCATAAATAAATAAATATTAAAAAAATACAAAGGTAGCTATTTTAATGACAACACTCAAGCAGAATTAAAGGAGTTTGTAACTCAGTCCCTCTGGATGGGGCCCATGCAGTACCCAGGTGGAAGGGTAGCCTCCGCACAGCTGGGCAGAACTGCTACCTATTGGCTTTCATCTCCAGTGGCTTAACCAGGTGACTTCAGTCACCTGACACCCTTGCACCACCTGGTTCTCCTCCGTCTTGCCCAATGCTGTTTGTAACTCTTGTAGTTGCTTTTTTTCTGCTTTCAATTCATCTTCAACTTTCTTCATATGCTCAGCCACAGTTTTATATCTCAGACCCTGCTCCTCAAGTATGCCAAAGCATTTTTAAAGGACCTTCTAGTTTAAAATGTCTGTTGACGTTGAACGTAATTATGTTCTCTAAATGGGTGAAAAATTATCCCTCAAATTGACTCAAGCCAGCATTTAATTTTACTTGGACCCATGGAAAAGTTACCATGGCTCTTTGCTGATTCTTATTTTTCCACACTGTACCAGGTTATAGGGTATAATCTTTAGTAGAGGTCGCTTTCATTTGTTAGCAACTTTGGATGTCAGAATGGTGGATCTTTGGGATGTGTGATCGTATGTTAGAATTTCTCTAACATACTTCACCTTATTATTTGCCTAGAAAGTATTTAGTGTTAAATCCAAGTGGGAAGAAAATTGATTCAGCCCATCATTTTTCTACCATTCCTTTTAACTTTGTTCATATTGTTTGATTATAAGCTGTACATGTCACTCATAACTTGCTTATTTTGTCGGTGTATTTTATGACAACCTGCTATACTAAGCTTGTTTTACTATCCTGAGGAAGTCTAGAAAAGTTTAGAAATTTTTGCCCCCTACTCTTCTGACATGGTAGCTCTGGGCCCAGGTGTGAAAGGTACCGACCGCCGTGTATGCAGTTTATGCACGGAGTGAGCCTCTCAGCGGTGGTGGGCATCAGCCCCAGTTTTCCCCCTGCCCACTTCACCTCAGTAGGATGTTGTTTCAGGTGAACCACTGTCTCCCAGAGAAGATTGTGGTGTATCGTGATGGAGTGTCCGATGGCCAGCTAAAGACAGTTGCCAACTATGAGATTCCTCAGCTCCAGAAGTGTTTTGAAGCTTTTGAGAATTATCAGCCCAAGATGGTGGTATTTGTAGTTCAGAAGAAAATCAGCACCAATCTGTACCTGGCTGCTTCTGAGCACTTTGTAACTCCTTCTCCTGGGACTGTGGTAGATCATACAATAACAAGTTGTGATTGGTAAGCGGACAAAACATGGTGTTTCAAGAATAATACATTGGAGAAGTTATCTGTTCCCCAGGTTTGCAATGGTGGGGAGGTGGTGGGAAATGGAATCCTCAGATTTTACTGTTAGAAACAAAGCTTATAAAACAAAAACAAAGCAAGAATAAGGTTTCTCTTCTTAAGTAGAAAGTATTGAATTCCTAAGTTCATGCCTGCATAACCTTCTGCACACAAAAATTGTTGTTCCTGTCACCATTCTTAAGTCAGGATAGCTTCTGTCACCATAGCCTGAGTCAGGAGACCTGGGTTTTAGTCCTCATTCCTTCCCTGTGTGTCATAGAGCCATTCATTGAACCTCTCTGAGCCTTTGCTGAAGAAACTAGAATGAGCTCCAGCATCTTTTTCAGCAATATTTGACCAAATTGACCTCATCACTGTTCTGTTTTTTCTCCTTACCAGGGTGGATTTCTACCTTCTTGCCCATCATGTCCGGCAGGGTTGTGGCATTCCTACCCATTATGTCTGTGTTCTCAACACTGCAAACCTCAGCCCTGATCACATGCAGAGGTGAGCTGACCAGTAACTTACTTTCTCACTTAAAATTATTCTGGCCTGCAGGCTAAGGTAGTCACTGCCCACCCCAGGCGTATTTACCCCTTGAGTTTCTTCATGTCTTCCACAATAATGGTATCTTTTCGAGGAATGATTCATAATTTTGTTGCACATTAAATTACTTGAAGAACTTTAAAAGTGATACCCAGGCCTTGCCCCTTCGCATTCTGAGGCATTTGTATTGTTAAAACTACTTCAGATGATTATGACATACAATTGCCCCTGAGTTAAGATGATGTAAATGCTTTGCTAGGGTATTTAACCTACCTTTATACTTTTCTTGAGGTTAAAAAAAAGTTCTTGTTTCAAAATAAAAATGGGATTGGGGGCACCCAAAGTGAGAATTTGTCCACAATTGTTTTCAACAATTTTAGTTAAAAACAATGATTCCTAAAAGCTGCATCTTTTATTCCCCAGTCCTCAGCTGCATGCTGTGGCATCATTCACCCTCAAGTACATAATCATGCTCCAGAATGAAGGTAGAGAGTGATAAAGATCATGTTTTCTTCTTTGCCTACAGGTTGACTTTCAAACTGTGCCACATGTACTGGAATTGGCCCGGTACCATCAGAGTCCCAGCTCCTTGCAAGTATGCCCACAAGCTAGCTTTCCTGTCAGGACAAATCTTGCATCATGAACCAGCCATTCAGCTATGTGAGAACCTGTTCTTCCTGTGACAGCCCCTCGGGATGTGGGCTGGTTGGAGAAGTCAAACTGCTGAACTCCAAGGTGGCTTGGGCAGGGCCAACAGAGACTGACGGGGGTTTGTGTTGGTCTTTTCCTTTCCCCCAACCTAGTAGAATAAGATACCTTTTCTTCTTCTTCTTTTTTTCTTTTAAACATGATCTCACCAACAAGCAAGTTCCATTCCAAGTATCAGCTGGAAATAGCCTTGTTGCCTTATAGGGTTAGGGTTAGTGCTACTGGGAGGTGGAATGGGTGCCTATGGGGGAGACTCTTAAGAGCCTCCACAACCAACACGAGCTGCAGAGACCTGCAGAGGCTGCAGCTGCATCTATAAGCTGTGCTCACTAAGCAGTTTCCATTTCTGGCGCCAGAGGTGATAATGAATGAAGTCACTGCAAGTTTCTTAAAGTAGAGAGTTACTTTATTTGGGCGACTGGGAAAGGTAATAAAAAGGCCTGTGAAGCAAAATTTCTTAAGATTTTCTCTTGCTGACAAGTGTGAAAGGCATGTAGTAAAACCACCTGGTGGTCTAGTCAGACCCTTGCTGACCTGATCTCTGTGTATTGAGTCTAGAACACCTGTGACTTGAACTGGCTTTGAAAGGGATGCTTAGCTACCCCTTGGCCTCCTGAGAGAGGCCAAATACTAAATTTACTTTTCTGTATATTTCAGTTGCTGTACAGTATACCATGCTGATTTTTTCCTATTCCACATATACATACACACCTTAGCTCTTAGTTACTGATCTTGAGTAAGTTTTAGTTTTGAAATTAAGAACCAGAGCATGTTAAATTCAGCTAACAAGAGTTCAAGGGGAGGAGTTTTCCTTTCTCCCTGATGTGTGGCCTTCTTTTATGTGACGTGTCTATAAATTGAATCACTCATTTCCCTTGCTTAATAACCTGCCTGCTGGCTCATTTTGTTAGTAGTTTTTCTGAATCGAAGTTGAGCACTCCAACCTGGAAATTCACTTTCCCAAGATTTCCACTTTGGAAAACATGACACTCCTGCCAAAGTCCAGACATTGCAGCTTAACAACCTGTCACCAAACCTGTGGGTTTCAGAGTTTTGGGGAAGCACCGGGGTTTTTTTGTGTTTTCCCATTTCATCATCTTGCAGTCCCTTCCAGTTTCATTTAATCTCATCTTGCTTTAACTGGGTCTTAAAAGCCAGTTCTATTTAATATTTGTAATTTTTGAAAATTTATTTTGTGTTGTGATTACATTCAACAAAAAGCAAAAATTCCCATTTTATGTGACAGTGTATGAAAAGAGAAAAGCTAGTTTGAAACTCCTCAAAAGAAATGCCAGCAAGTTTTCCATTTGCCCCGGCGCCCACCAGAGGCTGTGAACTGAGTGCTGATGCTCTGCTGGTTTGGAGTGTGGGACATGGGATAAGGCTAGCCTGGGATTTCAAACCACTTACACAAATTGGATCACTGGTCTCTGGTTTAACAGATTAGTTTTCTGGTTCTCTTTGAAAGCATGTTGATTTCTCTTTGAAGTTGAATTTCCTCATACTCCTTTTCTATAATCAGAAAAGACAAATTCTTGAATATAATGCAGAGCTTTCTTTACTTTTAATTCCTGGTTTTCTTGCTTTGTTTTTCAGTCTTAATGCCCAATGATTAGGTCCTGGGCATGATATAAATGAAAACAAATTTGTATAAATATAGAGTTGTGTTTGAAACAGTGTCATTTATGTATTAAAGTTCTTTCCCTCTTAAAACTGGAACACTTGTTAGAATTATTTACTTAGTACTTGGTTTGCGAGTACCTCATGGTGACCTGGGTAGAAAGATTTGGAAAAGACACCAAAAGTCTGTGTGTTAAATTCATCTAACCTGTGTGTGTGTGTGTTTTCTAAATCTCTTTTCCCATTGGTCAATTTCTGGTAGCACATATGAGAGCCACTTCCCAGGGTGCCTTCCACCCCTCTTTCTAATACTTACCCTTTTATACATGTACTTCACGGTATGTCTATAATCCTTAAAAATACCTTTCCAAAGCACTCTAGCTCCATGCTTCACTTTTTTTGTTTATGTAGAAACTCCATGGTGCAATTCTTCTTGAACTCATTCTAGAAGAAACTATAATTTATATACAGTGTTATAGGATCCTTTTTACTTGGGCAGGATTTGTTGACTGGTGTGAAAAAGTAAACACTTTTCTAAGTGACTGTTTATATGGAAAACATTAAAATTTTTGCCTGAAATTTCTCTGATTTGGGATTGTTGGCAAAGATCCTTTCTCTTTGAGACTCTATACCTGGCTTTCTTTGAATTTCTTAGTAACTTGTTTTCTTCCTTTAAAATTCAACAATAAGACAGTAGCCTAATTAAAAATTAAAAAACCCACGTCTTACCAAAGAAAACATACAGTTGACATATACATCAAAAGATGCTTAATATCATGTCTTTAGAGAATTACAAATTAAAACACAGTATCACTACACACGTTAGAATGACAAAAGTCTAAAATACTAAAACACAAAACACTGGTGAGATATGTGGAGCAACCGGAACTCCCATTCATTGGTGGTGAGAATGCAGAACAGTACAGCCGCTCTGCAAGACAGTTACTCGTACATAACATCCAGCCCTGTGCTCCTTGGCTTTTACCCAAAGGAATTGAAAACAGGCCCACACAAAAATCTGCACACAAATGTTTATAGCAACTTTGTTGGTAATTGCCAAAATGTGAAAGCAGCCAAGATGAATAGATAAATTGCAGCACATCCAGATAATGGAGTAGTAGTCCACAGTAAAAAGAAATGGGCTATCAAGCCATGAAAAGACATGGTGGAACTTTAAATGTGTATTACTAATTGAAAGGCTAACTATGACATTATGGTGGAGAGGGAAGGATGAATACGTAGAGCACAGAGGGCTTTGAAGGCAAGGCAAATAGACTGTATGATACTGTGATGGTCAATACATGTCATATTTGTCCAAACTCATGGAATAGGACACCTAAGACTGAATCTTGGCTAAAGTGACTTTGGGCGATTATGGTATGTCAGTTTGGTTCGCTACCTGTAATAAATATACCATTCTAGTGGGCGATGTTGATAGTGGGAAGGGCTGTGTATGTGGGGGCAAGTATACCAGAATTCCCCACCTGTTACTCACAGCTCAATTTTGCTGTGAACCTAAAACTGATCTTAAAAAAATTTTTTTTTAATGAAGTAGGGAGACTTCTAACATCGTGACAGACTGACCTAGCCATATACATATTTTGGTTAAAATAGGGGGGAAATGTAAGTAGCCAAATTTGGGGGAAGTGGAAGGAGGGAAGATAGGGAAAATTCAGATACAAGAAAGGAAAGGAAGCAGAGTGGTAATAGTTGATGCCAGCACAGCACCCAGGGTTATGGACAAAACACAGTAGGAGCACTGCAGTTTTTCAGGAAAGGCTAGGAGATGTGACCTTAGATCTGAGAGGTACAGGATTGGTAGAGAGAGACTTCTCCTGGATGAAGAGAGCTGGAGCCTTGGAAGAGAAGTAGAGAGACCTGGCCGGCTGGCTGGTCTCAGCATCCACAGGGAATTCCAAAGCCTAGGTCATATACAGGCATGTGTAATATGAATGTCAATCACCAGCATGGGGGAGGCTCACAAGCTGAAAAATTACCTTGAAGATTGGCCCAAACCTCTGGCCTAAACCCCAGGTTTATGCAAAACAACAACAACAAAAAAAACCAGCATAGAAACATCAACTCAGAACTCTGTTCTGCTAAAAAGTCATTCAAAGGCAAGGACAAAATTAAGATACTGTCTAATGATCATAGCATAAATTAATAAAACCAAAGGAATCAAACCCAGTAGTTGGTTGAAAAGATTAACAAAATGGGCAAACCCTTCACTAGATTAGTCAAGAAAAAGACATTACTAAGGGCCTCCCCTGGTGGCGCAGCGGTTGAGCGCTGGGCTGCAAAGCTGCCTGCAGCCTCTGCAGAGCTGGTTCGATCCCCGGCCACCAGTGAGAGTCCCACATGGTGCGACAGACCTCTCCTGCTGTGCCCGCTGCTCCCCTCAGCAGTGTATTTCGTCAGTCTGCCTGTTCTGCTCCCAGCTCTGGCTCTGGTGAATTCTCTCACCCTCCTGTGCTTCTGACTGTACCCAGTGCTTGTATAAATAAACAAACAAATAAATAAATAAATCTTTAAAAAAAAAAAGACAATACTAAATTCAAATAAAAAAAGACTATTGACCTCACAAAAATAAGAGGGATTATAAAGAGGATACTATGAGCAATCATATTATCCTAGATGCAATGGTTATCCTAGATGAAATGGTCAAATCCTATAGATAATGTACTGCTAAACCAGAACTAAGTTCGGTATTTTCCCAGCTGCCTTTTGCTAAAATCACCAGATGAGAGCACAAATAACGGAGGCATCTCTTTTGACTGGTAGAATGTGAGTGCTGGTCCTCTGATAGGATTTGGGATAGAACAGAAACTTTATAGTCCCACTGATCCTCTAACCTATATTAAACTATATCAAAACAGATAACTCATTTTCCCCTGGAAAATATGGAAACCTGGCCATTGGCCTCCTGTCAGGCTGAAAGAAAACTGGTCTCTGAGCTGGCCTACTAACTGGGAGAGGAAAAGGGACTCTGCCTCACCCACTGGTGAGGCTGCTATCTACAGAGGGACTTTGATTTTCTGAGGCCCCCAGCACCCCTTTATACACATTCAGGACTGGGGGCTCATTTCTCTGTTTTTTTTTTTTTTTTCCTTAGGCTGTTCTATTAGCTACGGGAAGTCTTTCTACATATCTTTTGGCAGGTAGCAGTGGTATCTTCTCAGAAGAGAAATAGCAGTCGCAAAAATTCATTTTGTGTTTAGTTCCCTTAAATATTACCCAACATCAAAATTTTATGTAGCTGCCCTTTTCATTCAATAAATATTTATTGAGAATCTGTTATATACAAGATGTTGTTATCAAGGAATGCAGGTATATATGGCAAAAAGTTTTGTCATCAAGACATATTAAAGTCTGATAGGTTAGAGATAGAAATGAAATAAATTTTAGAAAAAGTGCCAAGTACCATAAACCATAAAATGTTATAACTCTGGGGCCTCCCCAGTGGCGCAGCGGTTGAGCACTGGGTTGCGAAGCTGCCTGCAGCCTCTGCAGAGCCAGTTCAGTACCCGGCTCTCCTGCCGCGCCCGCTGCTCCCCTCAGCAGTGTACTTCGTTACTCTGCCTGTTCTATTCTCCACTCTGGCTCTGGTGAATTCTCTCACCCTCCCGTGCTCCTGACTGTATGCAGTGCTTGTATAAATTAATAAATAATTAAAAAAAGATGTTTTAACTCTGGATAATGACACAATAATGGGCCATGATCAATTTAGAGGGTTTGTTACCACTTTTTAAAAAATTTAAATAGGGCCCTCCCCGGTGGCGCAGCAGTTGAGCGCTGGGCTGCAAAGCTGCACCCCCGACCCCTCCCCCCCACCTCTACAGTGCGGGTTAGTTTAGTTTCCCGGCCACGGCCACGGGTGAGGGTCCCACCTGGCGCAGCAGACCTCTCCTGTCTCACCCGCTGCTCCCCTCAGCAGTGTACTTCGGTCCTTCTGCCTGCTCTGCTCCCCGCTCTGGCTCTGGTGGATTCTCTCACCCTCCCATGCTTCTGACTGTACCCAGTGCTTGTATAAATAAATAAATAAATCAATCTTTTAAAAAAAAATTAAATAGAATATAAAATATGCATTGCATGTACTAAGGAAATTTCATAAAATTTGTGCTATATTTTATTTTATACTGGATTTGCAGTGTAACATATTTTTAAATGTGGGTTACAGTCAAAGTTTGAAATGTGGGTTACAGTCAAAAAAGTTTGAAAGATCAAATATGTTTCAGAAGAACCAAAAGGTTTTCTGAAGGGAAGTAATTTTGAAGAGTAGGAAGTTGGATACTTGGAAACAGGGTAATAAAAGAAAAAAGGACATATTAAGTAGAGAGATCAGCAACAAGGTAGGACTTAGGATAGACCTAAAGAATTACGTGTGGGGGTGGATGTGGAGAGTTAAAAGACCTTTTGATTTCTAGCAGTGTTAATAATTAATTGTATTCCCCTAAAGGGCTACTGATAGCTTATCAATTTTGGTGGACTTTGGCAGTGCTACCCTGCCGTCAGCTTGCAAACAAGTGAGAATGCTGTGATAGGTCCTGTGGCTGGGTGTCTAGTCCTGCACCCTCCCATCTGTTCCCAGGCAGTTCCCAAGGGGTGCTTCATTAGTGGAGTATGACACCTTGCCTGGAGAAGTCACCCACGGGGGTGCTTTTGGACCTGTTTTAAGACATTAGCACCCCTTCATAATATGTATTTATGGACTTCATACTTTACTTTTCACAGTTCCATGTGCTCAAAGCATGCTTGTCTTAGTCTCTGGGCGGGTTTCTCATTCCCTTTCCAGTACTTCAAGGAAATGAAGCAGTGATAGAGACGGCACCATTTCTGACAGTCTGTTGGAGATGGGAGTATGAATACCAAAGGATGACATAATGTCTGACATAGAAAGGGTTATTACAAAGATGAAGGGGCTCTAAGGGAAATTCTGCAAGAGATATCATTACTCTGAAATCACTTAGAAAATGAGAGGACTATTACCCCACCCTCACCCAACTGAACCATTGTAATTGCAGGGTGAGGATAATTGGATTTTAGAAAAACACAGGGCCCTGCGAGTCTCTTCAAGAGGGATAGAACAATGTGGCCTGCTGTGTCTTTGCTCTGGTGCCTTTCCTTCCTTGGTCTCTTCCCCTTTCTCCTTAGTCCTTAGGAACAAGATGCCAGGGAGCTATTTTCCAGGCCCCTGCTCCATGGATTGTCTATATTCCTTTCACTATTAGCACTGCCAGGATGGGGTTCCTCTCCCCAGGATTTGCAAGGCAGGGCGTGAGCCCCTTGTGTAGATTCACACAGACTGGGCGCCAGCTCGGTTGCCATCATGACCCTAGGCCGCGTACTAGCTGGCTCTGGTTCTGCCAGCAAGCACTTCTTTGGTTTCCTAGACGCAGGTGGCCCGCTGACTTAACCCTAGAGGAAATAATCTTGACGTTCAGCAGAACAGAACAATGGAAGTTTAATGGGTAGTTTATTTTCTCAGAAATTTGCATTTCCGAGGCCTGATATCCATCTCAATGGAATGATCCCACAGCGGAAGAGATTCCTAGGCCACACCTTTCACACGAAATTAACATTTCTCCCTTCCCAGCCTTGGGGTAGGAAACATGGCTCCTTTGGAAGTCTGATCAATTGGGGAGAGGTGAGACACTAGTCCAGAAAGTGATGTAACATGGATTATTTGGAACTTGAGCAGGAAATTTTGCACTTTCGGAGGGTGGAAATAGGCAGAAGCAGCACCGTGCATGGGTGCGCCCCCTTTTAGGACACATTTCTGAAGTGAGTTGGGAAGGAAAGAGGTCTTTTACATTAATCAGAAGTGTTATATACACTTGTCAGGCGAGCAGTCTCACTCCTGGGAGTTTGGGAATGGCATCCAGGATGTGAGAGAGTCCCACGTAAAGGGAGAAAGGTCTTCAGGGCACATTTCCAGAGGAAGGAGGAGCCTGCAGGGCGTCGGTGGAAGGAGAACGGAAAGGAATTCGTGGAAGGGTTAGATGATGAAGCGATCGCGCTAGGGGCTCGCCTGCGGGCCGGAGGCGCAGGAGGCAGTGGCTCGCCCCGACAGCCCAGGGCAGGCCACGCGCAGGTCCGGGGCTAGCGGACTGCGGGCGGCAGCGGGCGCAAAGAGCGCCACGGCCCGCAGGGCCCCACGTGGCAGGCCCTGGGGCGAACCGGGTGGGGCGGGCGGGGGCGGGGCCGAGGCGGGGGGCGGGCCCCGCCGCTGACGCGCACGGTATATAGTGGGGCATGCGCGCCGGGGGCACGGACGCCGGGAGGGGGGCGAGGGCGCGCGGGGTTCCTGCGCGGGCGCACCGACCGAGCCGCCGCTGCGGGCCGCGGGAGGGCCTGGCCGCTGAGGGCGCGCGGGGCCCAGGTAGCGTCTGCTCGAGCCGCAGGTGAGAGGCGGAAGCCGCGCGTGCCGGCGCCGTGGTGCCAGGGGATGGGGCCGCACGGGGAGAAGCAGCGCCCCCACTCCGGGATCGGGGCCACCGGGTGGGGGTAGGGGCACGGCTGCGCCAAGGAGCCGGAGCCCGGCTGCGGTTTCCGGGCCAGACCAGGGAGCCTCTCCTGGGGGCCGGCCGCGGGCCCGGCCGCTGGATGCAGGCGGCACCTGGCCGCAGAGCCACGATGGAGGAGGGTGCGTGGAGCCGGGGGACGGGGGAGCGCAGCTACGACCCCTTCGGCTGGAGATCGCGGGCTGTGGGGGCCAGCGGAGGGTGTCCAGAGCGCGGGTAGCCGCACTGCCAGGCCGGGGGCGCTTCCTGGACACGAAGAAGCAGACAGTACACAGGCAGCTCTTGGGGCGGCTCGGATGCGGCGCTTGTGCCCGGACTTTGCTTTCCAGGAACTCTGTCCCCCACCCCATCCCTCCAGACCACCTCCCGGCTGAGGATATACCACTCCAAATCCTCTTGAGGACTGGTAGCAGGAACTGGCGGATGGCTAAGGAGGGACTGAGCTAAGCTCCGACCTGACGTACCTCGTGAGCGTGGCTAGTTGGCTGTTTTGGTCGGTGTGACCAAGTTAGGTGGTCTGGCTCAGGCTGCCCCCTCTTGGTGGGTTAGGGCAACGGGACGGACTAGCTGTCCAGCAGTTTCCCCATGTGATCCCGCGGTCCATGAAGTCAAGATCATTTTCTCAGCTCTAGATTGTGGTTACAGTTTTGAGGAACCAGTGTCTGCCAGGACCTGGGTGTCCAAGGGGGCTGTGCGTGCATGATTTAGTGGAGGGGTGTGTGCCTTCCTGGGGCCTCTGGAAGGATGGAGGCAGGAGCAGCTTTGACCTGACCCTTCTTCCTCGAGCCTCCCCGGGTTGGGCTTGTTTTCAGTCACTCTTCTCTAGGAGCACCCCCACTTGGGTAGGCTGGCAAGTGGTGATGTCAGCGTGTGGGGGGGACTGGCCTGGCACCCTGGCCTCTGTCCCTGTTCTGCTCCTAATTTGCTGTGTGACCTTGGAAAGGGGTCAGTGCTAAGGTCAGGCTAGATCTCTTGTCCACAGGATCTACGATTTAATCTGTATCTCTTAAGAGCCCTGAAAACTGATAAAGATGTAAAGAAGAGAAAGAATGTTCAGAATCGTAGCTTTTAGCAGCTGGAATTAGAAGCCACATATTCCAGTTCTTACTGGAGAGGCAGAGGTGAGTTTTTCGTAAATTATGTGGAAGCCCAGGAACTGACTAGCAATCTCTTCCTGCCTTTGGTTTGCGGGGGTGACTAAAGGGCACCAGACATTGGCTGTGTTTTCTTAAATTACGTAGGAGGAAGGAGAGTAAGAATGGGGGCTCCTTGATCCCGGGGAACATTCATTCCTTCCATGCTGAACACACAGTGCCTGCTCTGCACTAAGGGTGCCAGGGGGGCCTCGCTCCTACAGATGATTGTTGGGGGAACAACAGCCACAGGTGGAGAAAAAGGTGTCAGCTCAGGACAGGTCACATGGTCCTGTCCTGTTAAATTCAAACAACACAGCACTCTGCTAGAGACCGTGGAGGTGGCAGGAGAGTTCTGGGCTTTTTAGCAGGTGAATCTGTTCAAATCATTCCCCAGCAGGAAAAAGTTTCTTAAACTCTGTGGGCCTGTCTCATTGTGGTTGTGCGCCGTTAGGTCTTGGCGGTTCTCATCATCTCTGTAGGAATGGAGTGAATTATTTTAGGGGTTCCAGAAACTCATTGATAGGTTGGGTTGCAGGAATGGTGTGAGCCCAGACTTAGTCTTTTTTTTTTTTTTTTTTTTTTTTCAAAGATTTATTTATTTATTTATAAAAGCACTGGGTACAGTCAGAAGCGCGGGAGGGTGAGAATTCACCAGAGCCAGAGCGGGGAGCAGAGCAGGCAGAAGGACAGAAGTACACTGCTGAGGGGAGCAGCAGGCGGCAGGAGAGGTCTGCGCGCCATGTCGGACCCTCCTCTGGTGGCCGGGGAGCAGCCAGGGATCGAACCGGCGCCGGGGAGGGTGCGGGCAGCTTCGCAACCCAGTGCTCAACTGCTGCGCCACCGGGGAGGCCCCCAGACTTAGTCTTGATGCAGCTCCTTAGGAACCTGGGCGCAGTTTCCCTCACCTGGGTAGGCCTGTCTTCTGTGGCTTGTCAGGGATTATCCCAGAGTCACTGGGCAAAGGGAAAGATTTTATTTTTCCACCTTTTGTTTTGAAAGTTTTTTTTTTTTTTTAAATTTTTTTTTTTAAGATTTATTTTTTTATACAAGAACTGGGGTACAGGCCAGATGTGTGGGAGGGTGAGAGGATTCACCAGAGACAGAACGGGTAACGGAACAGGCAGACTGAAAAATACACTGCTGAGGGGAGCAGTGGGTGCAACAGGAGAGGTCTGCTGTGCCATGTGTATTGCTCCCTGGCCAGCCGGGGATCGAACTCATGCTGCAGAGGATGAGGATTGCTTCATAGTGCGGTGCTTAACCCCTTGCGCCAACAGGGAGGCCCTGTTTTGAGAGCTATTTTGATTGCTTCAGGTAGTAGGAATACTCCTTCTCTGGGCTAGTAATGGGCAGGAAGGACTAACAGTGCATGTGTGTGTGCGTGCGCATGCATGTATGCACAGTAAATATCAGTCACAGGATAGGAAGGGCCATGCTGCTGATTTCAAAGCTTTTCCACCTCCCTCTTTTCTTACCTGTTCACAACCCACTCTACCAAGGTGGACCTCAGTCCATATCCAGCACTCACAGGATCTTGGGATCTAAGTGCTGTGAATAGACTATATATGTCTGGGAATATACCTTCTCCTGACTCTGCCAAAGTAATTCAGTCTGCTTGTATTTGAAGCCTGAAGAAAGTAATGCTTAGGCATTTTTGTAGAACCACAGACGATGGAATGTTGAAATGGAGAATCTCTGGGGTTTTTTGAGTCCAAGGCCTTTGTTTTACTACAGCCAAGGGAACGGGGTCTAGAGAGGTTCGTTTGTGTTCTCAGGTCACTGCCTGATGGTGGCCAAGAGACTTGATGGAGGAAACCAATAAAAGGTTCTGTTTTTATTCCTAGCTGGAAGTGTGTTGATGAAATTGCTGACAGTCCTAGACTTTTCCTTGGAAACACAAGAGGGTAGAACCAGTTGTCCTCTGGTTTATTTGGAGAAGGGGGGCTTTTTTGCATAGTTTTTACTGTAAGAGTCTTTTACTACTTTCTTTCTCCACATTCCTTGGAAACCAGGAGGGTTGAGGGTGATGAGGGAGGGCCATGATGCTGGGGCCCCAGCCAGGACTGGATGTCTTCAGTGGGACTTCTCTGACCTCGATGCTGGCAGGCTGGGCAGTGTGCCCGCAGATAAGGAGTTCAGAGTCTGCTGTCAGCCAGGGACCTCGTGCCTTCCTTGGGGACAGCCCAGGCATCTTGTGAACCCTGGCAACCTTGTCTCCCCCTCACTGTGGCCATCAACTCCCAGAGGGGTTCCCCCAACACAGGTGGAAAGGGGAGGCAGGACAGCCACATGGATAGAGAGACAATTATGCCCAACTATGGGGAACCGAATTTCCTGCCTTGCAAAGTCTAGGTCTGACCGAGTTCTCAGACTTCCTAATCTTCCTCCAGTGTTAGATCCAAACTCCTCCTGGAGGTTGGGGGAATAAGGTGACTGACCTGAATTTATTACTCTTGAGACTCTTAGTGTGCTCAGCTGAAAGTTGGGAATAGAAAAAAAAAATCATTGTTTTAAATAATTCATTTTACCTGAAAATTTATGTGCATTTATGTTTATTTGTCAAAAGTGTGATGTAGATTAAGGACATTTTTTTTTGGTAATCTGGGTCCCTTAATTAGACTTGAAGTTGTGTATAAAAATCACACGTACATGGTCACTTGTAATTTCTTATTTTCTTGATTTTATTATTATTATTATTTTTAAAGATTTATTTATACAAGCACTGGGCACAGTCAGAAGCGTGGGAGGGTGAGAGAATTCACCAGAGCCAGAGCGGTGGCGATGGCAGCAGTGGCCGGGGATCAAACCGGCGCTGCAGAAGCTGCGGGCAGCTTCGCAGCCCAGCGCTCAACTGCTGCGCCACCAGGGGAGGCTCGATTTTATTATTTTTTTTTCACTAAGCTATATGTGTAGTTCAAAAGTCAGAAGGATGTAAAAAATTTTTTAAAAATACAAAAACCAGGCATACATGAAACATTTACCCCACCTCAATGTCCCCCACCTTTATTTTTTACAATGATTCAAGTTATTTAGCACCTTGCTTTTTCACGTTGCAAGTATGTTAGATCTTTCCATATCAGCACATAGAACACTGTTACCTTTTATGCTAGCTGCGTAGTATTTCATAATGTGAAAGTACGGTAATTTTTAACCAACATCCCTCTCTTCTCCAACTTGGGTTGTTGACTATTTGTCATTTTGTACACTGCCTCAATGAGTAACTTAGTACAAATTGCATTTCCCACACTTGTAAGAAATTCTCAGAAGTGGGATTGCTGGGTAATTAGTTTTCATTAAAAAATTTGAAAGCAAGAATTCAAAAGACTTTCTCAGCCATCCATGTGCAGAACCCTATTTTTTTAATGCACACACCTAATTTAATCCTTTTCAAAGTTCGTAACATGTCTTTATAAATGAGCAGTTACCAATCTTTTTGATCCTAGGATTCCTTCATATTGTCTTTTGTTTATGTGGCTACCTCTGTTGATAATTGCCATCTTAAAAATTAATACTGAGAGATTTAATAACAGTTACCTGTTCATTTAAAATAACAAAAATAAGGTCAATAAAGTGCAGAAAAAGCAAGGCAACTTTTCTGCATTTTTTAAAAAGATTTATTTATTTATCCATACAAGAGCTGAGGTACAGGCCAGAGATGCAGGAGAGTGAGAGGATTCACCAGAGACAGAGTGGGGAACAGAAGAAGCAGACTGACTGAACTACACTGCTGAGGGGAGCAGCAGG